TGACTAAGAACTTCTGACACTCCCCATTGGACCTTGAAAACAAACCAAGAGAAGCTCTCATTTGCTCATCTATTCTTGCAAAAATCTTCATATTTAACTTGAATAAGGAAATGAATTAGAATGTAACTGAGATGGAAAAATCAACTGATGATTTCACTCTTCCATGCATTCCATGTCTCCATGATCTGGGACATTTCTGGGTGATCTATGGCAGGGTTTCTCAACCTTGGTAATTACCAGCTCTGGATGGCATGGTTCAGGTTGTGTTGGAGACTCCTGGACATTGTCCAGCTGTATAATCACTGCCCTGAACCCACCACATAACCTGAGCTCTCATTGCCATTGGGACACCAAAGAGATCTTCAGGTCTGACCATGTAGCCAGTGGAGGGGTTTGCAAGGGGACTCCCACTTCAGTATGGCAAGAAAATATATGCACATGACTAAGCATGCATACATAATATAGGTGCATAATATTTGTATATCTATTCATGCATGCATAATAGATGTATATAGTATGTACATAATATTTCTATGCATATGCATACATACATAATAGATGCCCATAATATTATATAAACAATGTTAAACCCTTAATATTACCAACATATAATATTCCACCTAATCAATCTATATATATGCACATGACATTAATATACACACTTTTATTTTTTCCTGTCTCAATTATCAGAGCCCCAACCCTCATATAAATGCTGCTGCTCCTGTGAAATCTGAAATATGAATTCCTCATATTCTTTCCTCTCTTTCCATCTTCTGGGAATTCAGGACACAGTTCTTTCCAAGCAGGGACACAGACACAAACATAGAATTGAGCACAGAAGTGATGTCTGTTGTGTCAGAGGTGATCCCTGTTGTTCTATTACATTGGGGTGATTTTCACTTACTTGGAGTACAAGAGGAAGTCGATCTTGTTGCCTCCATCACTACAATGTAAGTGACGGAAATGGAACCTCATCTCCCCATATTCACTAATCTTCTCTATGTCATCAGGTCCCACGAGAATGGTGTGCCAGTCCCCGGTGACCTGCAAGGAAAGGTCCTCTGGGCATGGCTACTGGCTCCTCTTGTTCTTCTCTGGTCCACACTATTTATAACCATTGCAGCTGGTTTAGCTCAGAAGAAAAATTAAATCTAATCATGAGGTCACCATGCAAGCTCTGCTCTCCACAAGGTAGAATTGTATCAGCTAAAGTCACGACTTTTGCTTATCTATTCTTGCAAAAATCTTCATATTTCACTTGAATAAGGGAATGAGTGAGAATTAACTGAGATGGTAAAATCAATGTATGATCTCCCTCTTCCATGCATTCTATTACTCTATGGTATGGGACATTCTGGGTGATCTATGGCAGAATTTCTCAACCCCGGTAATTACCAGCTCTGGATGGCATGGTTCAGATTGTGCTGGAGACTCCAGGACATTGTCCATTTGTATAATCACTGCATGCATACATAATATAAGTGCGTAATATTTGTATATCTATTCATGCATGCATAATA